GCTAGACGTGGCTTGTGTTGGCAGGGAGGCTACTAGTGAAATCCTGACCCAACGAAAATTTGCTGTCGTGGTCATGACGGAAGAGCCTAAAACACTTTTTGCTCGTTCATTTTGTTGGCCATTCTTTTGCTCTGATAGCCAAAGTTAGGTCGCGGGACAAGGATTAATATCTACCACCCACGTCGAAGACAAAACACCTTGGGGCTCTCCATTGAAGCACAAGACATGATAGGCTTATGCATGCCCTCTTTAAAGTGGATCACAAGTTATTAGCTAATCAGGTGGTTAATTACTATTACAATATGCATTTGTGATTAGAGAAGGTTACTTAAGCATGTTTGTTATATCTTATAATTTGCAAAATAATCTCCTGGTGTTTCATAAACGCCATTACGTCGGGTTAAATCGAACAGGTTTCCGGCAGCCTGCGGCAAATCGACTATCTTTGACTGACTACTGTTATCTATAAATAAAGTGCCCTGAGCGCTACCGTTTTCGCAATCCAAATTCACTGTTCTAAAGAGACATATTATATGCAGACGTCAAACAAGATGTCACTTTTAAGACTGAGCGATCATTCATTTGAAAACGATCTAACCACAAGTTCAAAATCACGTCAATTTTACCTGAGCATAGCTCAATCATAAAATATTATTTGTTTCTCAGATGTCTACGGAGGACGAGGCTCCTCTCCGTCTTTTCGAGTGACAAAGATCACGGGGACATGTATCTCTCTTAGTTGGGTCAAATGGGACTTCCAACCACGAGAGCTTTAGCACTTCCTACTACGAGCAGCTGCCGTGGGTAGTGGGAAAATCACAGAGAAAATAGTTTTTGCGAGGCGAGCGACGGATTTCTTTGCAACCTTGAAGCCAACACCAAGTACACGATATCTCTTATCCCAGTGGGCCAGACTTACTCTAAACGAAATAAAAATGATTTGGACGACGAAGTTATCTTGCCGATAAATATGTCTTTTTTGCTGTTGTATGTTTATGGTATATGGTAGTAGAATCTCTTGCGTTTATGGTAGGGAATCCTATTCTGATATATTTTTCATAGGAGCTTAATTAATATTCGTGTCGTCAGCTTTGCCTGTTGCCACGTTCTTGCTTGACATACTTAAAATGACTTTTAATCCATATTTACGTATCAGATCTACATATGCATACTTAAACTTAAACAGTTTTGCAACCTGGCTTGATTCTTTTACGATGATTAAAATGATACAGTGATCTAAGGCGGATGACTGTCTGTTGGAGGGATTGCATTTATTGTGCTCGATTGTTTGGGCGCCGCAAGTAGCGCTCATTTAAGACATGCACTAATTCAGTCACACAGAAATCACACTTACCCATAAATACTGGCGTACAGGGGGTGTGATTGCATACCTAGATATAGGTCTGCATCCTGCGTCAGTCACCGAGGGTTATATTTTCAATAAATGTGTGGGAGATGAACAGGATGTACAATGTCGAACTCAGGGACAGCCGCCCTTATTCTAGCCTGGTTTGTGAGACGGTTGTCATCCCTCCTATTACACGAAAGTAGGGCTTTTTAGTTTTTTCAGTCCCCATGTTTGAGACTATCTATGGTCTTTCTTACAGCTTCTTTCCACCGAAGCTAAGTGGGAAAGTGAGGGAAATATTACCTTTGATGCTGCACGAGTCTGCCTTTCTTCTATCTAACGCACGTTCAGTTGACCACCCTGAACCCATTCCACGGAGTCCAGATTACGGCATTGTTGAAACTGGTAGAATCAGTCCTCTGTACTTCCGACAATTGACCTGCTAGGCTTATTTCAGATGCGAGATAACTTTACTCATATACATTTTCTTTTTCTGATGGCAAAGTTTCGCATTGCTTAAAACATATTTTTTAAAAGCATCTGACAGGCAAAGCTTGCGACCGTGGTCATAACTTGCAAGATCCCCTCATACACCCCACTACTGCTCTAATAGCCGTAGTTATGTCGGGCGAGTGGAGTAAGTAGATACCTCTTCTGCCGGAATATATATGCACCTTGGCTTATGTACAAATGCGATCAATGCACAACCCAAATTTGCTAAATCTCAAATGATTTTCTAACAAGTGGCTTATTTTTTTTAAATGCAGTTATCACAGTATACACAATTGGCCTCGGAGAGTCAAGCACTCCTGACCATCATGTCACTATTAGTGGACCTCACCTGAAATTGCCGTCGGAATCCAATGAAAAGGGTATGTCGTCTTAATATTCATCGGTTTTAGAATATTTGTTTTTTTTAATCTAATGAATCGAGCCCATGCGTTGAAGGAAATGCTTAATATGCTGGTGCGGTTTAATGCTAGGGTCAATACGGTTTCTGAATAAATGAAAACATTCGCTATTCAGGTGTTTACATGCACAAGGGAGAAGACGTGTCGAGCAGCGTATCAATTGGTTTACTGTCCTGAGCTTTCGAACTCTAACAGGAGTCCGTCTTCAGAGATAAGAAGTAGCAACGAAAAGGAGGGTAATTATAGTGAGGAGAAGAAGACTCGATCGCTGGGATAATATGTTTATTCACCTGACGTTTCGACATCCGTCGTGGATTCATCATCAGAAACATGAATAGTGCTACTGTTCATGTCTCTGATGATTAATCCACGACGGATGTCGAAACATCAGACGAATAAACATATTGTCCCAGCAATCGAGTATTCTTCTTCTCAATAGCTTCCTGGGACACGCATGTTCGCTTGTATTAGTAATTATAGTGTCCATAGGCCAATAAACTGTTAGAATTCGTCAGGTTTTTGAGGGATTAGATACAGCAATCAAGAAGAATGTTTAGGGGGAGGCAATTATAGTGGTGTAAGCTAAGTAGCTGTCAGTGAAGTCGGGTGTAGCTCGGAGTTGTGAACACTAATTAGTGATGAGCCTTAGCCCTACGGTGAAGGGTCTCGACTTCACTGACAGGGAACTAGTGTACACCACTGTAATTACCACCCATCATTCTTGATTGCTATTACTAACACCTTGACAACCTGACGACTTCTGACAGTTGATTGGCCTATGGCCACTATAATTACTCTCCTTTTGGTCGCAACTTCCCATCTCTGAAAATGTACTTCTGTATGAGTTTAAAGCTCATGACAATAAACCAATTGATCCGGTGCTCGACACGTCTTCTTTCTTGTCCATTCAATTCAATTTTTCATCCAAAGGTTATACTCAATGTAACTGGACATACTCTGGTTTCAGTCAACCACGTACTTGGCCACATCTGATTAAGAGGCAACCGAGATTTAGAGACTGCTGTTCATGACGGTCCATGGAGATCATTTCAATAAGCTGTCGGAGACAGAGGAATAATTACATACTTAATTGGTTCAACCTGTAAAGAAATTTCACTCGGTAGTCGAACTCTGGCCCCTAACAACAGCTGAGCGATGATACACCTAAAGAGGACTATACACCCAATAGGACCACTGGACCGTGGTCGGTTTACTTATACGGATCCGCCTTTACACGTGCTACAGACTGTCAAGAGGACTGATCGCTGACTACAGAAAGTTCCCCAAGTGAGAAGTCAGGCAAGACCAATTAGGTCGGACAGTGTGGTGTAGGATAGTAGCCAACAAAACGGTCTGCAGAAAAAGGCTGTTCACAGTAAGGATGCCAGTTGATATTTGTGCGCTCTGTGCTTCTGCGCGCTGGGATCAGAGGCAACCCGTGACATATCCTGCAGCAAATCAGAATGTGGGTCACACTGATTGGTAGCCAGCGTGAGCAGCATTTATCGCAGATAGAACAAGAGCTTCCAGGGTAGATTGCGAGCACGCAGGACTGCAAGTCTTCTTGACGAAAATACGATAAGTCACGAACTGTGCAATGAGTCGGCCATGATCGAGCGCGGAAGTACAGAGCTCGACAGTGACGAAACGGAGAGTCAGCGATAGTGGTGCTGATCCGAGGGCCACCTCATGACCATCATATTCGCTGATGGCTCTCAGACCGTCAGAAACTCAAGAAGCGGCTGCAAGCGGTGGTGATATTGAGATCGAGCTTTGCCATCCACAGTAACGGGTGGTGGTTTCCATTAGTGTCAATTCAATGACACATGAAACACTTGATCCGAGTTATGGTGTTCACATTCATAAAAATATTACATAACCGCAAGGAACTGAGACCGCCCATACGCGTGAAGACATAAAAGAAAGTTCGGTAAGTGATGCAAGTTGCATTTCGAGTTTATATGATGAAACGAAAGAATATATTCGGAAAATCGAGTTGTACACTTGAATTTTCGGGCAGATATCAATTGTTCGTCGTCAGACTAAATGAAAAGTGAGGGCTGGGAATGTCGCATTAGAGGTTTTGGGGACAGAGGTTACAACGAACGGGGTGGGATGGGGCGGGAGGGTTATAGTGATGTGACTCCTGTGGCGAGAGGTTTTGCTAGTGAGGGGAATTGATCGCCAGGGCTAATACGAGACAAGCTAGAGAATTCGTCGAGGCGTGGCACTCGAGCCCGGCTTGTATTAACAGACACGTAGAGCTCGGTTTACACTAAACCACTTTTCGCGCATGGTCGACTAACCTGCGCCCAGCCTGAAACAACAGCAGGCTGTCTGAAAATTTCACTGACTCTGAAACCCCGCTCCCCCGAACACGTGGCCCACAATCCAAACAAACCTCCCTCCCCTCACCAGCACAACCTATCGTCACAGCAGTCACGTCACCATAATCCCACCCCGTTCGTTGTGACCTTTTCCCCCAAAACCTCTAGTGCGCCATTCCCAGCCCTCACTTTTCATTTAGCCTGACGACGAACAAGTGATACCTGTTTGAAAATTCAAGGGTGCAACTCGATTTCTCGAAGACCTTTTTTCTTTTTATAAAAGAATGTTTCGAACTGTTGAAAGTAGGTTCTCGAGATTCAAATGGGTATGGATAAACCTGGCTTCTGAGCGTAGGCAAGCACACGTCAATGTCTTGTATCGTTATAACTTGCCTAATTAACAAATGAGAAATCACTTGTGCAAGCCCAGCGGCCCTTTTTTTACAGGACCGAAGGGTCTTCTCGAGTTCAGCCAAGGGCTGACGCTGATGATGTTGAGGTTAGACGCAAGCTTTGAAAATATGAGAGTAGGCCCTCAAAATTCTAACGGATATGATTTAACCTGGTGCTGGAACTTGGAATCGTACCGGTAGATGCTTGATATCGGTGGACTTTGTTGCATTGACAACTGAGATGCTCCTTGTAAGAGCCAACATGTTCTTCCTTGTGTTAATCTAATCGTACATGTCAACTATTAATCTGACTGTTAAGAAAACCTTGTTTCGGGAAGTGCAAACATGTCGAGGAAGTCATCTCTGCTTGGAAGGCCGTAACGTTTCAGATAGACCCATTAAACTATTTGGTGTTCATGAGCAAACTGTATTTTTGTGTTTGCGACGTATTAACACACTACAGCCAAACTCAGCAGACGTTATACGCGAATTCAGCCTATATGGAATTTTATTACACGTACAGCAAGTGACTACTTTTTTCCTAGTCATTTTGCCTTTATTCCCAAATTCCCACATTTAGCTATGGCCGTTCTACCGATAAGTCAACTGAAACAAATATTACTAGTTCAAATGAGGAAACAGACAAACCGGACTCGACTGAAATGGAGAACAATAGAGCAGGAGCAACTCTACCTGACCTCCGACAACGTGTAGATGGAACAAGTTTGACAACTTCATTGGAGTTGAGTGACCCGAATGTGACTCCCTGTGAAGCAGTTGTCATGCAAAAAGTATTCATTAAGACAAAAGCAAATCATATTCGACGAATTCAGACAAATTTAATTATGTTTTTACTTCGACCATATGTGGCCACAGCATGTTCCTCTACTTCTTCTACTATCAAATATGCGGGTGCTAACTGTTTGCCTGGGTAGAGAGTCTGTCGGTTTCTGCAACATAATTTGAAACGTTTTTTAAGGAATCGTGCCGGAGGATATTTCAGAACCAGTAGCAATCGCCATGAAAATCGGATGACTCGTTTCCTTGCTTGCCCTATCGACTGGCCTTTCTCAAGTGTACAATGGTCAGGGTACCACAGACACCCCCGTTCTCTCTGACGTCATTGCGGGAAGGACTGGATTAAGACAGATTACCAACGCTGACCTTGGACTGAAAGATAGTCACAGGTATGTAAGATTTGCGCATGAGTCTTGCGCTTGATTGAAGAGTTTTCTTCAGATAAGTACTCTTTTTATTTTTTTAAGTGATTCCATCCGCAAGCACACAACGGCGGGATACATGGAAGCGACAATGGCAGAATTTCCTGCGAAATCTGGAGCTGGTAAGCAGTAAAGTTGACGTTCTGGCATATATACACACAACAACGTTACTACAAGATGCCATGCAAAAAAATGAATCAACTTGTGGCAACATTTGAATGCAGTGGGTAACTGTACACCGATTTGTTTCGGGATGAACCCACCCTGGTTTATGCCTTGTTTTCTTCAAGGCGAAATAGTTATGTTACTCGCTAGCTATTTCGCCTTGAAGACTTACTATTGGGGTTCCAATTAGCTCGCAAACAAGGCATCAACCAGGATGAATACTTCCTGAAACAGATCAGTGCACAGTTACCCATTATTATATAGTCCCGATCACAAACAAACAACACGGCGAACCCGTGGCCCAATAGATAGAGCGTTCACCCCTGGTCGGAGAGACGCGAGTTCGAAACTCTGCCGCTTCACTGGAGTTGAGCTACCACCACCTGGTTACGCCCAATGAGGCAGAAAAGGCCTTCGTGGTGTGCCCTGTGTTTGTCGGTAAAAATAACATTTGAATGTACTTGTAGGGGCATAGCCGAGCATTTGCATGATCTGTTTTCTTCTCTAACTACCTCTACTGAACGGTTTTTCTTTTAGAAACCCTTCATGAGGCGGGATTTTCGCCAGCAGCCATTGCCATCACGATCTGTGGAATACTTTCGTTCCTGGCCCTGGAAATCGGAATCTCTGCCATGGTTGTTTGCCGACGCAGAATGCGGGAATTCGACTTCAATGTTGCTGCAGAAGGGGACGAAAGTGTCTCAAAAACAGTTTGTACGCTGAAACCCGTTTTTTGCGTTCCTCTCACATAGTCGGTAGAGAGTAGAGGAAATAAGTGCAAAGGAAGAGTAGAAAGCACAAATTATTTTACTTTATTAAATTTCGTCAGCGACTGCGAACTATAAATTTGTAGCAACAGTGCAGGAAATACTGGGAGAACACATCGATCAGTAGGTATGCCGACAATTCCTCCGTCGATTTCGACCATGGGCAGCCGCGTGCTCCAAGAAACCGCAGCAGGCGCTGAATCAAGCAGAGGCAGACACTAAGGCAAGCTGGGTAATCTGCATGCAGGATACAGCAAGCTGAAGCAACGCAGCGGAATACCGGGGATGAAAACAAGAGTAAAAGCAGACTCACGGGAATCTACCCACTCGCTCGCCGCTCCCACCTCCGTTTCCGGTGTACAGACAAAATCAATAAGACTGGGAATGAGGGAAGGTGTAGGTGGCTGGTGCGAAAGTCACTCAACACGCGCAAACTCGACTCAGCATATCCCGCTAGGTAGGCTCCCACGTGCGCGGGAGCGCTATAAAGGCCACATTTAAAAGGAGCCGTTACAGCCTGACTCTCAGTCCTCCATCTCCTCACATAGGTACGCACAAACACGCGCGTACTAAAGGAGCAGCGACTTAG